TGAACTGAACCCCAATGTCGAGGCGGGTCCCCGACAGATAGACACTCACTCTGAATCAGAATCAACGTGATGGCGTGGGAAACCTGTGTTCCCAACACAGTAGACACTAACCACTTGTGGTTATTTAATTTACATGTAAATTAATCAAATGGAATCTAAATTTATAACTATATATATAAATATAATGCTTAAAATTTAAAACTGTCACTAATGCATTGCATCCTTTTCATTTATTTTCCATTTATCATTCTTAATCATCCTTTACATCTTCCTAGTTAGCTCTTAAAATTGCCGTTTCCCTTAAGTAGTACAAATGACCTATGGTATTAACTTAGCATACAGAGAAATTGTAGGGGCTTGTGCAACAGGACAAGACTTGACTGTGGAGTGAATGTTGGCTGTTTTCTTAACTGGGTATGTAAGATTGTTGTTGTTAGGTGCCGTTGAGATGGTTTCAACCCATAGTGACCCTGTATAGGGTTTCTGAGGAGCTGCTGGTGAGCCGCCGACCTTGCAGTTCAAATGACTTTGCAGTCTGGTACATTAACCCACAACACCACACCAGGAGTCCTATGTAAGATTAGGAAAGTATTTAAACTTCTCTGTGGAGATAATAAAGGGCCATTTATGAAGATTATGAGTTAAGAGATGTACAGCATACATTGTTGTTATGATGTCCTATTGAGTGGCCTCTGACTCATAGTGACCCTGTATAAGGTATTTCCAAGGAGCAGCTAGTGGGTGTGAACCACCAACCTTGTGACTAGTAGTCCTTTGCTTATCCTGCAGCGCACATCAGGATTCACATATAATGATCAATAAATGTCAGCTTTCCCTTCCTTCTTCAGCTCACTCTACAGTTAGAAAACTGAACCTTTCCTAGGAAAACAAATTGGACTAAGTATGACCTATAGCACAGTGGAAAACATCTTTGTACAATTTGATTTTTCTGTTTTGAATCTTTCCTTGAAATACAGTCTCCAGAGTTGTACAGATGAGTCATAGTATACAATTATTTTCTTACTCTTCTCTGGAACTGCCAAGTCACTATCAGACTCTTTAGAGCCTCCAACCAGACTCGGCAACACCCTGCATGAAATCTCCACAGTCCTGCCCTCAAAGTTACTGAAATCTAACCTTGCTAGTTTAGTAGGCCTTTGTTGTTGTTGTTGTTGTTGTTAAGTGCCATCAAGTCAGTTCTGACCCATAGTGACCCTGCATAGGGTTTTCGAGGAGCAGTTTTGAACCACAAAATTTGCAAAGTTTTGTGGTTCAAATCAACTTTGCAGTCCAACACATTAACTCATAGCGCCATACCAGGACTGTTTAATAGACCTTGTTGTTGTTGTTGTTGTTAAGTGCCGTCGCATCAGTTCCAACCCATAGTGACCCTGTATAGGGTTTCCAAGGAGTGGCTGGTGAGCTTGAACCACCAACCTTGTAGTTCAAGCTGACATTACAGTCTAGCACTTTAACCCACAATGCCACAATAGGCCTTAGGGAATAGTGTATACAGGAGTGAGTCCAAGAGCTTGCCCAAGGGATAGGTGGATGGATGGGGTGTAGGGGACATTTCAGATTGATTGTCCCCTAGAAAGTATATAGCTGTCAGACCAGCCTGGAACGGCTAAAAGAACAGAAGATACTTCTTGAAAGAAAGACCAACAGGAAAAATCAAAAACAATAATGGCAATCTGACTGACTACTACAAGCTCGCTCAGGAGACATCAAGGCAAGTGGTCGGGTCCCCTCAG